TTGGAGATATAGGTCCTCTCAGGCATCCTCTTCCAAAAGAGACCATCTCATCCACATTGAAGATTTGCTTTAGTGAGTGGCCTCCTTCCTGGATAATCTGCTTGAATTCTGGCAGGAGTGTCTTGGCAGCAACCGAGTCTGAACTAGCAGCTTCACCAGTCATCTTTATGTTGTGGAAGTTATAACGATGCTTAAATCGTTGAAACCAGCCCCAGTTGACCGTAAAGGTCTCTTCCTTCGATCCTTCACCCTCTTCTTCCTTTATGTCGTCAAACATGGATCTGGCCTGATGCTGGACAACCATAAGGCTCACAGGCACATTGCGTTGATTCTGGTCCTCCATCCACATAGCCAGCATCTTTTCCACTTTTTCTATCAGAGTACTTCTAGTACAAGTTGTTTTAATTGCACTGAGAGAAGTACCACTTCCAGCACTAACCTTAATCTTGTCAGCTTTGGTTCGGATAGTATGCACCGTTGTGGGGGTTAGACAAAGCACAGCGGCTATGTCCACAGCACGTTCCCCTTTTTCAAATCGGGTTAATACATCCACTTTCGTAGCCAGGGTAATGGTCTTATGTTGCCTCTTCACTATACTAGCATCAATAGCACTTGATGGGCACTTGGCAGCCATTTCGAATGGTTAGAGTAGAATTTTAGAGCAAAAGCACTTAGGCACAAACAAATGATGTGAAGTCGTAACAGAGACTGGCTTGGCGTCGCTGTGACGTTACGCGAGTGAGGGCAGAGCACTGAGCCGAGAGAGCATAGCACGGCCAGACAAGAGAGGGTGATGCGCTGTAAAAAGTAGTCCGTGACGACGCAAAACGATGTTGTACCGAATCACCGGGACGTTAAACAAATTTTTGGTCTCTTAAGGCTTAGCGACGTACAGTAGTACCAAAACAACGTTATAAAATAATTTTTTATTGTTGTATTTTTGTGGGAGGGGGGAAATGCCTCGTAAGGCAGAATTTGGGATAACTTGGCAAGGGCAGAGCCCCATATGTGCCGAGTTATAGAGGGTTTACTGTACTTGCATTATTCAATTTTTGTGGGGGGCTTATGTTGCAGTGCAATCAGTTACAAAGCCAAAGATATATGGGTTAGGCCAATGAAAACAAGTTTTCTTTTTTTTTTGGGGGAGGGAGATTGATAAAGCAAAAAAAAAAATATTCATCGCGCACTGTCTCGCCTGCCCTGGGGGCTTCAGAGATGTGATCTTGGAACCGGAAAATTTAAAACATATCTCGTGCACGAGAGGGTTAATACATAGCAAAAGAGTAAAAATTACAATACCCTGTACTGTACACAGGTGTGTATGTGTGGGATGTTAACATATGCGTGGAGGCAGTGGGCTGTATTGTGTCGCCGACTCACCCGCATACCCCCCACCAAAGTGACGTCACGGCATACACACACACACACACACACACACACACACACACACACCTTAAGAGTCAGCTGGTTGAATGCATTACCCAGATGATATTTTAAGTGTAGGAGCTAGTTTTTGTACAGAAAATATGTGATAACTGTATTTTATAAATTGCTATTTATCAATTTTATTGCTGATGAAAGCAATTTTTGTTAACAAAGCAGTTATAGCGCCACTGGTGGTACACACACAAATGATTGACCAAAATGAACAAAGTTTGGATACCTGAAAGATTTAGATAATTGGAATTTGGATAAAAGGAATTGCATTGTAAATTAAATAAGGAGGTTGTTGGGTGTTAATGGGTTAGTACGGCAGGATCTAAATTTTACCAGGGAGTGCTGAATATTAATTCTGGTGCCTTAGATACTATGTGGTGCAATGTATAGTACTTTATACCCAAAATATTGGGCTGCTGCAGCACCCTCCCTTCCCACATCCATGTATTGGGTGGAGTGAGGGAATGAGGGGAGGAAGACATTGCAGCACACACAAGAAAAATAACTAACCACAAAGTGTGTGCAGGAGATGCTCATCTGCCAATGGTCAGTCACAAAATTTACAACAGCCTCGCGGATAGCTAAATTTTGATCGCGAATCTTGAAAAGTTACTAATAATTTTATGTGAATAAGTGAATTCTCAAACATGGAGTACAGAACAAATATTAAGTTCCATTACAAATAGTCAGAGGAGAAATATACCTGTAAATGAGAAATGTGAGACACATCACCTTGTGTAGGTGAGTTATATACACTACTAGACCTTCCAACTATTCAAGACAGAGGGATAAAAAAAAATTTAAATACAGTCAACCCTCACTTTACGCGGTCCCACATTCCGCGTTTCCACGTTTACGCGGTACCCAGCCGGAACCCGGGATGCTCACATTCCGCGGTGCGTGTACCCCTTTACGCGGAGTGTGTCCGGCTCGATGCTATTTTTAGATTCGCCCCTCCAGCCTGCTCCCGCCTCCGCAAGCCGCGCGGTAAGGTTGCGCAGTGCATGTCTCTGTTGCGTTATCAGTAACGTCATATGACGTATCGGACTGTGATTGGCCATGCTTCCCTACCTCCCTCCGCTGCTAGCTGTAATTGGTTTAAAGTAATATGACGTGTCCACCCGGGTGAGGGAGGGAGGGAGGGAGGAAAGATGACGCTTGACCTAGCCGTGGCAGTTTCATCCCTCCAGGCCACACTGTGTAATCGCACATCCATTGTTCTGTAAAATGGCTTCCGCCGGACCACCGCCCCCAGAGAGAAACCTTTCCTTGCCTGGACCCAGCCGCCCTAAGCCCAAGAAAACACGACGTTCCTTAAGCTACGAGGTGAAGTACAAGATCATCCGAGAGTTAGAGAAAGGAACAAGACAGGTTGATCTGGCGCGCCAGCATGGTATGAATGAATCTACGATCCGGACGATAAAGAAGGATGCAGCCAAGATAAAGGAGCACATGAAGATCACAAAGTCTACAGGTGCTTCTATGATCAAGTATTTCCACAACCAGGTGCTTCTCGAGACGGATAAATTACTTGTGAGCTACTTGGTGCGTCAGGCACGACGGAACATGGCGGTGGACACGCGCTCTGTTAAGGAGGACGCACGTGAACTGTATGCTGCAGTGTCACGAAAAATGGGAATTACTGAGCCCAAACCCTTTAATGCTTCCTCTGGGTGGTTACAGAGGTTTAAGATGAGGAACAAGATCACCAATATCAACATTGGTGGTGAAGAAGCTAGTGCTGACCGTGTTGCGGCTGGGGAATTTCCTCCGTTTTTAGGTGAGATTATGGAGGAAGGACAGTACACCGACAACCAGGTGTTTAACATGGACGAATCTGGTCTTTTTTGGGAAAAAGCTACCTTCCAAGACCTTCGTTGTGAAGAATGCCAGCAAGATTCGGGGCCGGAAGTTGCAGAAGGAGCGCATCACCGTCCTGTTTACCACCAATGCCTCTGGTACCTGTAAGCTCAAGTTATTGGTGATCCACAAAGCCAGCAAGCCGCACGCCTACAAGAGCATGGACATGACCAAGCTAAATGTCCACTGGCTGACCGCACGTAAGGCGTGGATGTTCTCTACACTGTCCCTCTCCTGGTTTGAAGAATGTTTCGTTCTCGATGTAAAGAAATTCTGTGAGCAACAGAATGTGCCATTCAAGATTTTGTTGCTGCTGGACAACGCACCAGGACACTCGCCCCTACTGTTAGATCGTCACCCCAACGTAAAAGTGGTCTTCCTTCCTCCCAACACTACGTCTATATTACAGCCCATGGACCAAGAGTTAATCTGTAATGTAAAAGCTGCATTCTCTACGAAAAAATTCAAGCTCCTGAACGACTACACCAACACCAGGGAAGAGTTGCGTAACCTGAGTGACACCACCACCGATAGCAAGAGCGAAGACGACGAGGATCAACAGTTGGCAGAGCAAAAAATACTTTTCAAACAATTCTGGAGAATATTCAACATCAAGAAAGCTGTTGACTTCTTGGCAGAGGCATGGAATCAGCTGTCTGTAGCAACTGTTCATCACGCATGGAGACATGTGTTGCAAGGCATTCCGGCCGTTAGGCAGAGTAAATCTGTGACTGGTGAGGTTCAGACTGTTGCAGTAGCAGTGGACCTTGCCAGAGAAGCTGCGCAGAGTGTTACAGCTCAGGCTTCTCCGAGACCACCAACGACGACATCCTGGAGGTGATAAGGGATCCTGATATGACTACCGACGAGATGGTAGATGATGATGACGTCAGTGAAGAGGCAGGTGGTGCGTCATCCCAAGAAGAACACCGCTTATCCCATAGTAATGTTAGGGGTGCCATCGAGTGTATCGAGAAAGTCAAGCTCCTCCTTTCCGACAACCCTGACGCAAACAGGTATGAAATCTTCACTACCCAGCTGTTGCAGACTATGGAGCCCTACTTCAAGGTTTATCACGACAACATAAACACCAGCCGTCAGCAAAGCATAACAGAGTTCTTCGCCCGCAACCCACCACGGCCAGCCCAAGCCAGTGATAGTGACAGAGGTAGAGACAGTGAAGATGACTTTGAGGGATTTGTCAGGGAGGCCCTGACAAGTGTGGATGACAGTGATGGTGACTCACCTGAGGGCCAGTAGCCTGCCCTCTGCCTCGGAACCAGCCTGCATCCCCGTATGCCGACCCATCTCTTCTACTAACGTAAGTGTTAAACCTAACTTTTAGTTTTCCTAACCTAACCTTTATTTTTCCTAACTTAACCTTTATTTTTCCTAACCTAACCACTTCTATATTAATTGTGTGTGCATACCATCATAAAGTTAAGATAAAATTTTTACTACAACATAGTTGTGTGTCGTCAAAAAGTGGAGTTTGGGGGTCAGCCCGGTCTCTATTTCAATTAATCCCATATGTTATGTTGTTCACTTTACGCGTTTCTCACTTTCCGCGATACCCTGTGGGTTGTATTAACCGCGTAAAGTGAGGGTTGACTGTACGTATTTACATATTATTCTCTTTAACTCAGATTACAAAAAATCAAACATAGGTAGTTAGGATATGACATTGCAATAATAGCACTTACTTTTAGTTTCTTTGTAAATGTATTCTCGATAGTTGGATCATAACTGTCCACAAACTGGCCATCCACAAACTGGATGCACAAAGAAGATTTTCCTGAAAAAAAAATAATAATAATTAAGAACAGTATTATATAAAGAAAGAATACATATAAAACATAATGAATACTGTATAAGTTGACTATGGCAACAACTTGAAAAGTACCATTTAATAATTTGATATGGTACAAATGCAGTACAGTATACAAACCTCCCCAAAAGGATATCTGTATGAAAGTGTTGTCAGATAATTTGATCCACATACAGCAAGACCACTTTAAGTCAGGCTTCTGTAAATGGGACAAGCTCTGGCTTTAGGGTATTGTGTGGTGCAGAAGTTAAGCGATTTGTTCATATTTTGTGCTTTCCTAGTGTATTATTATGGCCTCTAAAGTAAGTAAAGGCAAAACAACACCACTGGAAGAAATGGAATGGTGCTCAGAACTACCAACTGTAGAGAAACTGAAGATACGAAACAATTGATGATGGGGTCTCCATCAACATTATCTGAGAGGAGTTTGGGCTTAAGCAGAGTAATTTTTATGACAACAGCTAGACTAAGTTCATACTAAATATATGTGTAACTAAATATGAAATGTAATTAAATGCAACTACAGTAGCTATTGTAAATGAAAGCAGCCCCCCAGCGGCCTCCACCTCAAGATTCATCTGCTACAATAAAGGTAAAACGTACAGAATATGTACACTGTTAACTTTTTGTTTTTGAAAGAGATTATTCAACAAAATGATGATCGAAAGCACCCAGGGGAATATATTATGCACAAGTCGGAATTCTAGATAAGTCGGATAGCCCCGAGCCCCATATTGTCCAACTTAAAGGGGTCTTATTGTAGTAGATACGGGTGTATACCAATACCTGTTGCAAAATAAAAATAACAATCATTACAAAATCCTCTACTAGAAAAAGCAAAATAATTCACTCATGAGACATAGGCAATATTTCATCGATCATATGAGGCGCTTCGTGTCAAAAGGAGGTGAAGCGACACCCCGGGCAAATTGAGTTTTTTGATGGATATCATTATTTTCACCCTTCCTCTACATGTTGGCATTGGATGTAACCCTCTAGCTAGAATAGAAATACAGTAGAAAGTCCTTCAAAAATAAAGTGTGATTTCGCCTCGGGGCCTGGAGCTACGTATCCAGCTGTGTGCTCAGTCCAAGGTGGCAACATCCCGTTCAGAGCGAGAGGAGTGCGAGCCAATGACAGCGCGCCTCCCTCGGACCATACCCCCAAGGCAGCCAATCACAATGGATTTCCCCTTGCTACGTCACAGCTCCTCGGCTAATCCGCGCACCCAGATGCTGCCTCCTTAGTTTTGTTGCATATTTTAGCATCAGGAGATTAAGTGTACGTTCTACTGCTATTTTTGATAACTTTTCGGCGTAACGCTGACTTTATTCATGTTCCACGGGTGTGAGAAGTGCTGTGCAATATCTGCCCGATACTAGAGCAAGACTCGAGTGAGGCACGAGTTTAAAGACAATGTGGCATGTAATGACGATGGCAATGACGGTAAAAGTGAGCTTGAAATAGATGAAACTGAGTATACTCATTATACAAAAAGTGACTGCTATGCATCACAAGATTTTTTGTAGATTGTGATCCGGTACAGTCACGTGACATGCACTGACGGCAATAATGACGATGAAAGTGAAGATGAAAATGATGAAAGTGAGTCTAATGGTAACACAAACAGTGACACTAATGTATCACAAGAACATACAGACTGAGGAGGTAGAAGTGGACAGTGACGAGACATACATTGACCTTGACAGTGATGGAAGTGAGTCTGACCCAACAAATGCTAATGAAAGTAAGCCCATAACTCGAGTCTTATAATGAAACTGAACTGTTGCCGGCAACAATAATCAATGATTTAGTTGATGAAGAATCTGTGTGGCAACTTTTAGAGAGTGCAGAGAAAGACTTTAATCAGTACGTGACTGATTATGACGAGGCCATTAAAGTTATACGCACTCCTCAGGATTTACATAACTTCAAGTTACTACGATCTTCAGGGATAATAAAACGAAGGAACTAAACAATTAAGATTGTAATACTATTGTCATAATACTGTTTTTACCAAAGATTATGCAAACTTTCTCCACCTGTATCCGTGGAGGGAGGGGTAATAATGGGGGGGTGAGTGTAGTGGTGTTTCCTTATTATTACACACTATTATAAATCTTTGGCTAATGATAGGGATGGAAAGATAAATACTGATAGGCAAATGATTTTTTTTATTATTATTTAATTATTTAAGGGGGTTTAGGGGGGGGTTATGGGGGTGGGTGTAAGACGAGTGCTGTTTTTGGTGATCATTAACTTGTTTTACAGTATTAGCCCACAAAAATATGAAAATTTTGCAGAAAAGTGAGATTATTGTTGGTTTGACGATCAAACAACTGTACATCACCAGTAGTTATTCTCATTCAACTTGCGATAAAATAATAACTATTCACAGTACTAACTTCCAGTTTTCACAGTTTGCTAGGAGAGGGATTGAGCTGCACAATAAAAAAAATTAACCCTCTAGCTTAAAAAACAAAAAAGTTATGGTTGTTTGAACTTAGAAAAACTATAAATGCGTTTTTCTCAAGCTTTTTTAATTTGGCGTTTCACCCCCTTCTGATGCGGAGCACCTCATGTGCAACACATGTATAACCACTCATCCCATCAATAATATGCCTTTAGGCATACTGGTAAATCTAGGTGTCACATTCTGAGTTGTGGGATCAAGCGATTCATTCCTGTCAACCTGACTGTGTGGCACCTCAATGCTGTCAGGGATCTGTGAAACTAGATCATCAGTTTCATAGAGGCATTCAGCACTTCCACCCCATGGAGCCAGATATAAAATAGACACCATTGTTTCCCTGCCATCAAGAAAGAAAACATAAGCATACTGAGAATTTGCCTCAAGGAGTTCCACTTTCTCGAAAGCAGAGTCATACTTGGATTGTCTGGTGTGACATCTCAGAAGAACTGATCTAGGCAATGAGAGACAAGTTGGAATAGAGCTAACACTATACATTTCCACGCTAAGGGGCAAATTAAAAAATTACGTAATGTAGAGGGGGTGGGGGGTATCAAGCGAGGTGTTAGTGTGTTACAGGGGGTGGGTGGGGGGGGATGTCAGAAGTGTTATATAACAGTAAAAAATCAAATAAAGCCTAAATAATACAGATGTAATCTTTGAAAGTCTTTAATACTAAAAGTGCACTAAGAATTACAAAGCAATATATGTACTGAGATCTTTCTACAGTAGAAGTCCAAAAATCCGGACTGCATGGGGATTGGGTCGGTCTGGATTTTCGGATTTTCCGGATTCTCAGGCAGTACTTCTAAAATTCAATTTTAAGGAGGAATAAAGAAGAGATGAACAGATACATTTTGATAGTTTATTCATTAGCAAATATAGCATGCTTCAGTTATCAAAACGAGCAGTTTTAAAGAAAAAGCTGTGATTTTTAGAATTTTAATCTTTGCCTTTTATATGTCATAAATTGTAGACTTTCCAATGTCGTATGTTTCCATTAGAACAGTAATGCTCACACCACGTTCTAGTTTCTTAATTATTTCAAGTTTGTCACTCAATTTCAACGTGTTCTTCTTTCTCTTTACACAACAAAGTTTATTTACTTTAGGAGCCATTATTATGGGCTTGTACAGTACTCTGTAAATGGAAAGAGTAGGACTCAAACTTACATACTTTGTCACAATTTGATGGCTCGTTTTAAAGTGGCGACCAAGTGGTCGCTTGTCGCTGTGCAGCTGTGGTGCTCACGCATGCGCACATACACACAAAAGCCAGCTTAAAAAAAAAAAAAAGTGAGTTTTCGAAAAGTCCGGATTCTTGGGTGGTCCGGATTTCTGGCATCCGGATTTTTGGACTTTTACTGTACACCGTGTCAAATGCATGCACATTCTATTTATTTTTCAAATAAAGGTGAAACCAAGAAATACTACTTTAATAATGAAAGCAAATGTATTTCATTTAATATATTCCTGATATATTGTTTGCATGTAAAAAAAAAAAAACAATATACTTCTGAAAACTCAGTTCTCAGTCTAAATATTTAAGTATCCAGGGGTGGTTATGTGTGCTGTCCCAGATTAGTTTAACAGGAACTGTTTTCACATATCATTTTCCCTCTCGAGTTGAGGAATTTCTAGGCAGTAGTCGCAAATAAACTGAGTTGCGTGATAATTGAAAACCCTTTGTATGTAAAGCAGCTGTTAAGTCATCCAGTCTTGACAGTTCTGATTACTTCAGAGCATCTTTTCTCATCTGCTGCAAAGCCTCCAAGTGTTATTTCTACAATGTCATTATGTAACAAATTATCATCTGCAATCTTTGGTGGCCTTCCTTTGGTTGAGGATGGATTGCCCTCCAGCTTTTTTCTTGTTGCTTCATCCAATTCTTCAAGTTTCCTTTTGTAATTTTCTCGAAACTTTCTTTGTCTTTCCTGATTCGGTTTAGTCTTCTTTCTTCAAATCATCAATTTCTGTTTCTTTCTTTTTCAAAGATTTGCATTCTTCATATGTAAGCATGCCACAACCACCCTTGTACAGCTCATTGACATGATCCTGAAGTTCACATAATTTGAGATTCAGCTGGTCTTGTTTTGGAGAGGTAATGGCCTGCTTCACTGGGACATGCTCTTTCACTTCCTTTACACTGACAATTTCAACATTCCCTGTCTGTATAAGGATCATCAGCTTTGTCTTCAGGGTCAGCTTGTTCTTTCTGTACTCCAGCTTTGGAGCTGTTGGGAGAAGAAAAGTGAATGTCAGATTAAGTATACCCAATGTGCATTTGTTACACATGTAGAAGAAACATTCAACTAAAACTACAGCTAAAAAAAATTGCAGACTGTGTTTACCCTGTGACACATTTTTATATTTTTCATTGCAATATTAATTTGTTAAAAGTCCTACAAGATGTAGACTAAAAATGTATAAAATACTGTGTTAAGTTAGGCCTACCTTTCTCCAGAATGATAGGAGCCTTCCTTTTTACTTCATTTCCTGTTGCTTCCATTCCTGAAGCTTTTGTGCAACAGCACTATTCAGATCAGCACCAAGATGACTCTTCTTCAAGTCGCGCAATATTTGAGAAACCTGTCGGGATAGTCTTTTTTTATTTTCTAGGGTAGGCTTTCCCATAACCTCTTACAAGCTGCAGGAACAAAACTTTTTTCTGACTTTTGTGTTGTTGCCATATTCAGTATCAGCAAAGTGTTGTAATGTACCTGGAATTGTTGAAAAACACAGTTTAAGTTATTCAATCTCTTTTATCCTATAAATACCATATAAATATCAATGCTAATTACTGGTGCACACCATTTACATCAAATTATCTTTACAGAAAATCAAGGTAATTTCTGAATTAATGTACAATTAAACTGATTTTGCTTGAGATACTGTTGAAAAAAAAAAATTAGAAGGGCCAAGCTTGCTCTGGCCTCTAATTTGCTCATATAAATTTGACATCAAATAAGAATGGCACCGCCATAAGACTTGGATTTTAGCAACTTTTTATGCTGTGTCGGGCAAATAACACTATATCACCTTATATAGAGCACTCAATACTGAACACATATGCATGGTACAAACTACCAAAAGTGGCTTAAAACCTAAAGAAATAAGAAAAAACACAGGACTGTTTACCTCTCAGCGCACCATGCATGAGGAAGGCATCAGCTGACGCGTCTGAGCGGCCTGAGTGTAGTTGCCTTGGCGCTCACTAGATGGTAGCAAACGACATCTGGCACGGTTTTCAAGGACGAACAACTAGTCCCGCATGTCGCGGGAGGGAATTTTTTTTTTACTTCCTGTGGAATATACTCGCTTTATGCTTAAGGTCACAGCGCAAAACCTCCCAAGTATATTCCTGTATACATAATACACACTTACAATGTTCTGTATTGATGGATATAATGGTTGTGATGATAACTACTCCCTCGCACAGAACAAGACAAGCCCATCATTTTTTGCACTTATTCACGCCATGGAAATTCGCACTTCTGTGCAAATTTTAGGGGTCTTGCCCTCCCCTGCATATTATTCAGCTGTTGGTGTGATCTGAAGCAGTGTTAGCAGTGTTATGAGTCTGGGAGAGGGGGGGGGGGTGTTCAGGGTTATGTTACGTAATAGTTTAGGGAGGTTTGGACAGTGTTACAGGAGGTGGGGGGGTATAAATTTGGGTGGAAAAACGTGTTACATAATTTTTTAATGGCCCCTAACCTGGCCCGTAAGCCACACCCCTCGTCTACAGCTACAAATAGCCAATTGGTTCATAGAAAATGTATGTGTAGCTGTCCATTTATTCATACTAAATGTGTTCAAAATTAGTAATCAGACAACTACACGAGCATTTTCTTTGAATCAATCAGCTATTTTTATAGAAGAGGGGCGTGGCTTACGGGCCAGGTTAGCGTGGAAATGGAATACAGTAGTCGATCAACATTGGAGGTTGAATAAATGTTCATGTGGTGTGGCATTTGTTGCTGCCAACAGTAGTCTACATATTGAATGCAGTGCATCCGGCAGGACGATTTACAGTGGGTGGTAGGCAAGCCTTGAGATTTGATCATGAGCGTCACCGCTTTCCATATCACATTGTTGTACCAATGGGGGGTTATATGGAGTAATCCAGCTTGTAGAAATTCCTCAGCTGTGTAGGATATCCTACACCTCTGATGGCATGAAGGAAGTTCCTGTCCAAATGCAGGCATATCAAAGATAACGAACACCGGGTTGAGGCATTTGATAATGGTTTGGGCTGTCATATCGGGACAGGCAAAAGAGAATGGGAAACAAGAGAACTTGTCTATTTCTGTAAGTAAATACTGGTTAGATGAAGACCTTGTTAGAAGTCCTTTGAAATCAATGCTGAGCCTCTCAAACAGACATGTCGCTTTGATAAGTTGAGATGTCTCAGGGCAATGAAACCTTGGTTTGAACTCTGCACAAATGGAGCATAAAGAAGAGAGTCTCTTCACGTCCTCGACTTAGTACAGTATGGAAGGTTTTGCTTTCTGACAAGATGCACATGATGCCTGGGTAGCAGAGAGAGTTGTGGAATTTTATCAATGTGTCAAAGATGATATTGAATATAAAAGTTGTAGAAGGCAAGCTCGACTCTCCACCTCTGAATTTTATCATTCTTGATTTTGCCTGACTGTTTAGTCAAACATGAATGCCACAGATTTTTTATTGGCAATAAGGATGAAGTGGCATCCAGACAGATAATGTAGCCACTTGAGCAGCACCTCTACGATGACGTACACCTAATATACTAACGAATGCTTCATTCATTTGCGTTTAGCATCCTAAAACAGAAGGACATAGGTTTGCCTGCTTGGTTCAGAGTGGCAGCAATTGCAGGATCTGAAACATCAGTCTCCACAAGAAAAGGAGTTGGCTTGTCAATGGAGAGCACCAATGCATTTTCTATTCACACTAATCATGACAGTAGCCAAAGCCAGACTTTCTGATGATGTGATGTAAATAACTGCAAGTGAGAGAGATTGAAGAGCAGAAGATATTCCAGATCCTGTTGATCTGCACACTTTTCCCAAAATGACCTTTTTGTCACATTTGTTGCAAACAGCTTCACGTGCTGGACAGTTCTTCAACATCAATTGAAGAAGATGGAACTGCACTAAAGGTTGTCTGCGGTGTGGCGTACGACTCTAAGCTTTTCTGTGCTTGATCGAGGGCTCTCGCGTGGTCAAATACAGTTGAGAGATCAGGTGTTTTGTTCTCGAGGAGCCACTGGTGAATGACACCTGACAGCAATCCACTTATGAAGGCATCTCAGATCACCTCCTCTTAGCATTTTTTAGCAATGACAGTCTGGTAGTTGCAGTCCTCACTCAGGTGCTTCCGAGTTTGAAGGTATACTCATCCAACGATTCTCCTGGCTGCTGGCTAGGAAATGTCATGTGTAAACTTCATTCTTAGGTTTCATATACAGGTTTTGCAGAGCCTCCACTATAGTGTTCTCATAAGTCACACAATCAAAAATTTACTCATACACAGAAGGAGCAATGCAGTACAGTAAGCACATTCAGCTTGCCTGGAGAGTGTTGCTAAATGGCTGTAAGAAAGCTTACAATCCTATGCTCAGTGCTTGAGTTTGGGTTGGACACATATTGCTCAGGTTGCAGAAACTGTCAATGGTGCTCCAGATGTATGTTACGATCCTTGTTTGAAGACTTTGTTGAACAAATCGAGGTATAAGTCAGATTCTAATTTATGGGTTTTAGTTACAAAATATTTATCAAAATAATTAGCTACAGACATTAAAAAAATTATTTTCTAACATCATTCAACTGACCATCACACAGAAGGAATCATTTAATGGGATGTGCTCTCCCAACTTTTTTGGTGTGAAAGAAATAATACAGTACAGTATTCAAAATATATAAGAATCAAGATTTACAAAGGAATATTTGATGCAAAAGGAAGACGAAAGTTTGAGATGGAACAACATTGCAATTGTTTAAGTGGGACAAATAGTATCTATGCTACAAATAAGAAAACCAAGAAATTAAAAATTGATCCAGGATTTTCTATTTCACAGAAGTCAGGATAAGAAGACTCATGGATGTTACCCATCAACTCTTATGGGAAGCAACTATAGCCAAACCTTGACCCTGATGGTTAGCACTAATCAAACAACTACTGTACTATAATAAGTGTTGGTGGTACAACAGTAACACATTTATCACTCACCACTATCCTAGGTTCAAGTCCTGGCCCAAGACAGACATGGGAAGGGTGTTATCTACTGTGACCCTACCAAACATTACAGGTTTCCTCCAGGTACAGTACTGTACTCTAGTTCCTCCTGTAAGTACTAAGACTGGACAATAAAGTTCATATCATGGTAACAAAGAAGATACCAATTGCCCTAGTGGTCATTAACCTGGCATAATATGTGGTGAAATGATAAAATTAAGAATGAAGAATTTATTTTCAACATATAGAAAAAAGTTGTCAAGTTGCTGCTGCAGTTGTTTCTTATTAGTACTGAGTATGAAACATAATAGTGTTGCTGTCAATGTCTATGAAACATTTGGATGACAATGATGCCTCCAGATACTCATGTAAGCAAATATGGCAGCAGCCTTCTTACATAAGCAACAGTAGCAGCATCTTTGCTAACAAAAAGCTTAGGACAAAAACTGAACAGGAAAACTGCTATTCCTCCACCTGATTTGCTTTATTCCTGAGGTAAGAAATAAGTTTTTCTTTTAGAGACTTTTCCTTGGGTAGCTGGTTAACCCAGATCAATGTCCTTCAACCCTTACACCCACCCTTGGTGACGTACCAAGATGCCCGACTAGCTCGCCCCGGGTGACGTTCCAGAACGCTCGCCTTTTCCTGCCACTGTTTAAATGCCCAGCACGGGTTATCAGGTTCCAGTGTGACTATTTGCCCGTCACACCAAACGCTCGGTCACAGGGAAGCTTCCTGAATGTAATTACCTATTTTTGTTTGTTTCATTTTCATTGTTTGTCTATTTTATCATGTTGTATCAAAGTAATATTGCTAAAAGTAGTGTAGTATTACTGGAAAATAATACTATGATTATGCTATAAATGTATTTATTTGTGGAATTATTATTATTTTATTCATTACTTGCTCTACCAAACACAAAGACAGCCAGACGGCCTGTCGACCGACTGTGTGTGTGTTGCCAAGCACTTTTTATGAAAAATAATGCAAATCAAATATTTGAAATGAATTAGTTATAGCAAATACTGTATTATAATCAGTAAATATATACAGTAAAAGTCCAAAAATCCGGATGCCAGAAATCCAGACCACACGAGAATCCGGACTTTTCGAAAACTCAAACTTACCTTTTTTTTTTTTAGCTGGCTTTTGTGTGTATGTGTGCATGCGTGAGCGCCACAGCTGCACAGCGACAACAAGCGACCACGGGGTCGCCACTTTAAAACGAGCAATCAAACTGTGACAACGTATGTAATTTTGAGTCCTATTCTTTCCATTTATAGAGTACTATACAAGCCCATAATAATGGCTCCTAAAGTAGACAAACTTCGTTGTGTGAAGAGAAAGAAGAACACGTTGAAATTGAGTGACAAACTTGAAATAATTAAGAAACTAGAACGTGGTGTGAGCAATACTGTTCTAATGGAAACATACGACATTGGAAAGTCTACAATTTATGATATAAAAAAGGCAAAGAATAAAATTTTAGAATTCACAGCTTTATCTTTAAAACTACTCGTTTTGATAAATGAAGCATGCTATATTTGCTAATGAATAAACTATCAAAATGTACCTGTTCATCTCTTCTTTATTTCTCCTGAAATTTGAATTTTAAAAGTACTGCCTGAGAATCCGAAAATCCGGACCGACCCAATCCCCAAGCAGTCCGGATTTTTGGACTTGTACTGTACATTACATTTACTGGCCATCCTGGACACAAAGGCGAGCTAAAAATTGCTACTAAGTGTGTAGGTGACCACGAGGCTCGCTGTCACAAGCTGTCCCCTTATCTCCCTCCCTCCGCGCTGCCACGGAATTTTCTAGAGGGTAAATATATAGTTTTTCTTACTTTTTTTTATTGTTTTATCATTAAAAAAGGTTAAAAATTATTTTGGGAAAAGTTGATTTTTCTCGATTTACCCAGCGTGAGGGATACGAACAGCGGCACCCTAACCTCGGGCTAAAGGGTTAATACAGGTATTACCAATATGAAAAAACATGGTTAATATAATTAAATCCTGTTTTGGCAATTTAAGAAATTGACCTTGTAAAAATAGCTGGGAAAATACAAGGAATGCACTGGAACCATAATACAGATAAACCCCAAGATACGATGGGGTTAGGTGCCTGAAAAACCCATCGCTGGGTGAATTATTATAGATAAGGATCATTATAACATGTGGTTCAATGGGATGCGTTCCCAGCCAGTCCCCAAACACACATGTATCACCGACAAAAATTTCCTACAATAATACAATCAGTACAAAACAATTAAACAACAGTCACCACATCATAAAGAACAAAAGTCTGGTCATCATCACATGTCCCCTTCGAGGCTAAGGTGACTCATGTAGGTGGAGTGAAGATGTCACTCTGATTCCCACACAGCCTCTGGGGAGTCTCATGCTGCTTAACAGTGTCAAGCTTCACCTCAGAGACATGGTTGTCTTGGATGTCTTGACCTTCCCAGACATTTTCGAAGTTACACTGCTTACTTCAGTCACAAAAACAGAGCGAAAGCACTTGTCACAAAAACAGAGCGAACAATGATAATAAAAGCAATGATCGCGGCCAACACTGCTCACATCATTATCACAACAACAGAGGCTAAGCACCTTACAGTCACAAAACAACAGAAAATATCACTTCACAGTCACCACAACACAGTTCAATCTAAATGTTAGTGCATTTCTCTTACTATACAAGAAAAACTTAACACACCGATGATAAGCACAATGTATGATACTGGCCAGGTTTACGATCCACCAAATACAGGTCTGTAATGCACGGGTTGGCCGTGTGGTGGTGCATGGGTAGGCTTACAAGTGAAGGTAGAGATGTGTGGTGCATAGGGTTAAATATTGTTTCCTTATAAAATGTCAATGACTTGATATAGAAGAATTTGCACGGCTGGAATCCCTGCAAGACAGCGATTAATTTGAGTATATACAACCCATAATTTGCACTAGATATAAAAAAATCCAACTAATGGATATCATTAATGTAAATTTTTTCTCATATATAGAGATTTTCTTAGTTTATGACCATCGTTAAAACAAAATATCTCTTAACAGGATATCGTATATCGAGGTTTACCTGTATCAAGTTCTGACCAGAACTGGAACTTAGGGTGTTAAAGCTATTTAAGTAGTAGCCAGCTATCAAACAGGGAGGTACTACCGCCTAGGGAGATATTGGAAGCATAATGTGTTGTCTAATGGTAGACCCTGTTGTCATATGGCATCACAAAAATTGTGACTAAGTCCCAGGTTGCTGATCTGACTTTCTGCCTCATTTACACACAACTGCAGGGTCTCAATTATTTCTCTTACTTCGGCAACACAGCATACTTAACGGGTATATGACCTGTGCCTGGGTGGGCTAATTCCCGTAAAAGAAAAAAAAACAAATTGTTTTAAGTGCGGTATACAGTACATGACATTCAAAAACCCCAGTACAGTACTGTATGATATTATTTGTCAAGGTTAAAAAAAATTTCAAGTCAATTGTTAAACATAACCATGAATATGAAGGTTTAGGTTATTTATTGTTTACCTGTACTTAATGCACTGGTTCCCAAACTGAGGGCTACAGAGTTATTCAAAGGTTAATAATCACACATGCTTGCAAGAAAACATGCAACCTTATATTTATGATCCCTTCACCTACAGAACAAACAGTTTGTAAATAAACTTAAATAACTGCAGCTGGTTCTGTCACTTATACCTGGTACAGTACTGTACAGTACAATAGATACGATTTAAGAAGTAATAGTTTTAGCTAAACATATTGTACTGTACATCAATATTCATTGACCATAGTATTTTTTTATGTTACATTATCCATTAGAAATAAGAAGCATTAGCAGTGAATTGTATTTTAACCCATGAAACAGTAACCAATACCACTATAAAAAGTTCCGGTTCTGCCCAGTAATTTTGCCGACGTTCCGGCACAAACCAGAACTGCTTAAAAAATTGAAGCTCCGGTGTATCCCTAAAAAAAATACCATGCATGAACAAACTCAAGTTTGTGCATATGGATACCAGTATTAACTAATATTGATGTCGATAAATATCTAAAAATTTCTGGGTTACTTTTACTGGACTCGCTGTGCTACGTTGGTTGTCTAGCCAATCAATAGCGAGGAGGTTCAAATTCAGTCAATCAGCATCAAGTACTGTACTGTACTATGATATCAACTACTCCACCCGTTTCAGTTGCGCCTTGACTCTTTAAACAAGGGTGTGTGTAACAATTGTAATTATTCTTTTCAGACATTGTCAATTTCACACACAACTCAAACAATGATCATGGAATAGAGAATTTTGTGAAGTATGGAATACCTGTACAGTACTGCAATAATGCCAGCATATAAAGGCAAGAAAATTGCAGTTAACATGTGGTAAGATATTTAAGATTAGGTTTTGTTAGGTTTTCATTTTGAATGGTTTTTTCCCCAGACATTTAAACAAGAAATAAAAGTCAAAATGAATAGAGCACATACTATTGAATTAGAAAAAGAATTAAACCTAAGCATAAAAGTTGCAATGGGCTTTAATCACATACATACACAGAACAGTACTGTACAGTACTGTGTTTGTTGAAAGTATTTCTTCACACAGAGGCTTGTGAAAGGTCAGTTTGGTGAATATTTTCATGGAAAGGATTGACCAATAAATGAAGGATGTAGGGAAAATCATATGAGCCAAAATTGGAATCTTGCCCCGGTCCTCAACCAACCACTTCAATACGTGGCAGTTTTGGAGGTGAAGTTGGTATGATGCCAATTACAGGTTGACAACCCCTTATCCAAAATTCCGAAAACTTCTGAAAACCGAAAGTTTTTCCCTGGAGCATCACATACCCTAGTTTGTTTTTGTTTTGTTTTTACAGGGATTAGCCCACACAGGCACAGGTCACTGACCCACATTGAGGCCTGGGGGGGCAAAACAGTAGTAGTATTAATGAGTGGGTTAAGGAAATCCAAGCTCTGTCTGATATTGCTAAAACAGAGCCACATGCGGCTTATGCGGCATTCATCCATGGAGTCAAGCATTGCTGGAATTACCCACTGCGCACTATCCCTGATATTGGATCCCTCCTCCGCCCTCTGGAAGAAGCCAACAATGTCGCTTTTATCCCAACACTAGCGAAAAACCTTGCTTAACCCCAGCAGAAAGGTCAATCCTTGCACCACCACCGAGACTAGGAGGAATGGGATTGACTAATCCAGTGGAGCTTGCCCGTACAGAACATCAGAACTCTGTCAAGCTCACGGCAGCTCTCACTGAGCACATATTATATCAGAATGCAGCAAGTCAGGTGGATACCAACGAATTAAACAAGATTCAACGGCCCATTATGACAGAGAGGCAGCAAACCCAAAGTGATAATCTGCAACAACTGTTGCAACAAGTGCCAGAGAACGTGAAAAGAAAATTAGCTATAGCGCAGGAAGTGGGCGCCTCAAACTGTTTAACAACGTTACCAATAAGGGCAAAAGGCTTCATCCTTAATAAACAGAAATTCACAGATGCCATTGCTCTAAGGTATGGTAGGCCAGTAGAAGGTTTGCCCTCTCAATGCATGTGTGGCTCATCCTACGACATCAACCACGCCTTGGTGTGCAAGAAAGAGGGCTTCGTATGCATGAGGCATGACGAAGTAAGGGATGTAACAGCAAATCTACCGAGGGAAATCTGCCACGACGTCATGGTGGAACCGCGCCTCCTTCCATTGGACGGTGAGAACCTCCGTCACAGGACTTCAAACACATCTAACGAAGCT